TTAATTTCTGTCACACTGAATACGTACATTACATTGCATAATTAATGATAAACTTCACGAACCATTTATTATCATTGAATTTACTCAAAATTCCAATTTATATCTTTATCTTCAAGCTAGTACTGAATACAAGAAAATTTACAACACTATTCACACCTAACGATAAACGAAAATCTTTAACCAAATGTTTTAACGCAAATAAGACCCATATATCGACATTTCAAGTATCGATAATCACATTTCCCTATAATTTTACACACAACATTACACACTCATAATAAATTCTTATTTTTCAAGACTAAATATCTTCTGAAATATTTTGTAACATACTATACAAATATTTTTCAATTTATTCAAACACAAACCTTCAAATATCTCGTAACTAAAAGTATATGACTTAGTCCACTTTCAAGATTAATGGCACATATAGCGACTGTCGTCTCTTGGAGAAGGGTACTTTGAAGATCCAGAAAAAAAGAAAAATAGAGAAATATTCGAAATGATTTACGACTCAAGCTGTAGAATAGCTGTCGTCCTCGCGCCTCTGCACGCACAGCTTTCGTATTATGCTGCATTTTGGGTTTCTAGCGTGGCGGAGAACGGTCCATTTCGTCAGGTGGGCTCATAGGCGACGGTCACTTTCGAATATTAGGTTTCGGGAAAAAGAATTCCCCGGCCGGCCGGTCGGTCAGTGCACCTGGTGGACCAGCCGCCCGGCAAACCAACAATCCGACGGTCGATTCTTTTCCTTTCTACAAAAGGACCTCGCAGTAGGCATCGATTCTGTGCCTCACCTTTGCCCAGAAGTCGTTTAGAGGGTTGGGGGAAGGAACAACCCTCGGCTGAAATATTCAATTCGTTGGAAGCTTTTGGCTCGTCTAAAACTTTTATATGGAACTTGTTTTCCCTTTTTTCTTTTAAGCGTGACCATTCAATATATGAAAAATTACCTCCATTTTTTAGGCTGGAATAATAGAATAGTCTTGCGTTGAATACAATTCTTTTTCAAAGATTCAAATCGACTGAATTTTCCTGTCGATTGAAAGCAAAATGTATTAATCAATGGTCGATGATTTTATTCATTTAAAACTATTATATCGAATTTGTTCGTTTTAAATACAATCGATTAATTTATTAAGTTACTTCTATTTTGTATGTTGGAGTAATAGAATTGTCTTAAGTTGAATTTAACGATTCTTTTCAGTAAATCAAATCAATTGGATTTTCTTAATTGAAGGCAAAATATAGTAATTAATTGCTGATAAGATATTTTAAAGTGAAACGACACTGGAACTGTTTATCTAAAATCTTGATATCGATTTTGTTTTCTGTATTATTTTTAATGTGATCGCTCGATATACTAAAGATTATTATTACTTTTCATAATAAATTGCTAAATTAAATCAGCCAAAAATAAAAAATAAATGCAATCATTGGAATAATAAATCAAATTGAATTTCTGTTTTTTGACACCAAAACGAGAGTATCAACTATCGGTAAAATATTTCAAAGCACGAAAGAGATACTGCTATCATTACTTACAAACGTTTTGATTTATTAAATGCTACGACTCGTTATTTTTGTACATTTATAAATTTTCTTAAGGTCCACACAATTCTTACGAATTTACTTCGAACATTTTGACCAATTTTCCATTTCCGACGTACGTATTTCTAAATCATATACATATTTTGTATATACCGTTCTTTGTTATGCTTCTCGAATTTCATTTCAAACGTATTGCAAAATCAATACAACGCTCGCAATTTATTCAAGCGCATTCAGCATTTTCTCCCTTCCGATTCCATCTGATAGCATTTTTACATTTAGAAAATTCTTGTTTAAAAAAGTCCGCTGACGTTGATTTCGTTATACGAAATCTTATATAATATAATTCAACTCAAGCAGAGTTTTGCAACGTCTAAAAATGTTGTAATCTAATAACCAAAATATATAATTAAAAAAAAGTTAAAAACTACCCGCTGAAAAAGAGGTGCAATTCAATTTCACGAATTAAATCGAAATACGGTCTTTCAACCTTTATAATCTCATAGAGCAAAACAGACACGTTCCTCGGCAAATATATATGCCACAAATAACAAACTGAAAAACTGACAAGAATAAAAATATTGTATACCATAAAGAACAAATTAAAAGAAAAAGAAATTGAAAAATTAGATATTTTTTACATCAATATTCAACTGTATTAATATTAAATAAACCCAAGTTTCGAACGTTTCCATTGAATGGACTGATCAAAAAATTGTATAACTCATTTAGAATAATTCAGTAATATAACGATTGAGTCGGTACATGAAGGAAGTTGCCCGACGGTCGCAGAATACGTTATCTACGTGAAACCAATTTACACTGGTACGTCATACGAGTAAGTTAAACTCCGAGAACAATAATATAAAATTACATTTCTCCGTACAGGGGGGCAGCGATAAAAAACGATCGTCATACGAGAAGCACACGAATCGGCGGAACAATTAAAACCCGCGAAAAAGGTCCGCAGCCCGTGAAAATTCGAAGGCGCCGTGTGGTAGATTGAATTCACCGCGAACGAGCATAATAGATTTAAATCGCGACGCGCGCACGTGCTACGTTTTGACGGCACTAGTCAAATGAAAGTTTCACCTTATCCACCATTCAAGCCCGGCCCATTCAAAGACGATTGAAAATTACATCGGCGGATGGATTTCGGTGTACACAATCAGGGAAAATCGGGGAAACATGAAAGGCCGCCGCGGCCAATAAAAAGGAGCGATACATAATAGAGGAACGCGTCACAAGACCGGGCCGATAAAAAAGTCAATAAATTCGCCGATAGGCGAACGCGAAGTTACAAAGCGACATCTGTCTATGTTTGCGGGGGTGTATGGATCCGGATGACAGGGGAAAGAACGCAAAGAAAAATAGCGCGCGGGCAACGGAATAACCGTTGCGCGAGATGCAATTCCGTTCTCGTTGATTATTCCTTTTCGCCTGTGTGTATTTTTTCGCGGTCGGGCCCCGGCTCGCAGCTCCCAGCATTTGCACATTCAGCCAATAAATTTCGAAACAGACACGCGCGCGCTGCGAGCGCTCGCCTGAAATTCTATCACCGCTCGCTGATACCCCTGATTGTTTTGTCGCTGTCGCTTCCTTACGTCTCTGCTTTCGCGGGACACGGCGAAGAAACAAGGTCTCCGCGGAACGGGTAATCGAATTTCGCGGGGAATCGATGTTTGCGAATATCATCTTTATATTCGGCGAGTTTAAGTTCCGCGAAACGTATCGCTTAAGTATTCAAGGGGTGTTCAGGAAAGTTTCAGCGCATGAAAGTTTGAGGGATGCGGGCTCGTTCGGCGTTGAGCGGCGTTGAACGGCGTTGAGCGGTCGGCCGCGTGAGAAGCTGTAAACATGGTGTCCCGAGAAAGTAATCTTGTTTACCGTGATTCTGGGTTGTGTTGGAATTAGTGGCAAGATTAATAATTAATTCGTATTTTTGGAATTGTTTTATTGCCTTTCTGAATTCTGAACTATCGATTGCTTTCTCAAACTTGATCGATAGTAATGCTTCTATCGATTTGGTGAAGAGTGTAATTCAACTTTTTAATAGGATGGAATTAATGGAAAGACTATAATTGATGTATAATATTTCTATAATTATTATATAATAAATTTCTATCAAAACCGAACCTCGTTTCTATAAGAGTAACGTTACTGAGTAATATTTGTTTCTAGAAAAAATGTGTTAATTTTAATAAGTATGTCCTACATATATAAATTATATAGTTTATGTATATAATAAATATGTGAATTTAGTAATTAAGTTCGTATTAAACAGTATTAGTTTAATATTTTATTTAAAAATTTTATACCTTCCGTTAATTAAACTTCATTTCTGGTTCCGTGTGTTTTGATAAACTTCATTAACTCGTTGCCATGTGATTTCTTTTACAAATAAGCTGGACAGAAATACTTTATGGTCATGTACATGTAAAAAAATATATTTAATATGAACTCAAAGAAAATTGAGCAACCTTTCTGTTGGTTGAAGTATTTGACATTTCGATCATGAGTTTGAAAAGATATTTTAAGGCGATGAATTAAAAACAAGTATTGTATTATACTTAAATTCATCAACCCTTGGTAATCATTACTCATACTTTAGCAATAATGTTGGAACTAACTCGAAAATAACAGGATTAATTACATTTATGATATTTATGGAGTGTGTACTAAGATTATTTTTAACGACTTAATCATAAAACTAAAATCAAGTATTTTCTAAAGGGCTGCAATATATAATTATTTCAATGAAATCATGTATTGAATAATACATAATTGTAAAGAATAATATGCTTTTCTTTCATAACCTTAATATATTTATTTTTAAATGTTCAAAAATTCATATTAATATTTCTAATATCAAAATATTATTTTTTATATTTTGTACGTACGTACTTCCAACCTATTAAGTATTTTGATTAAAATACTGAATTTTTTCTCTGAATTGACACGGTAAATAACGTTCTCTTTAAAAATTTTCCACTGAGTAAAAAATTCGACTCGAATTTCCAAACCTATACATAATTATCAACTTAAAACACGAATATGTAAACAAAACCTTTAATTCGGAGAAAACACAATCATTAACTCCAAAAGTTATTTAAGTAAAATTCTAAATATTATTCCAACCAAAAAATGATTACAAATATTAAGTAAACACATCTTCTCCTGCTTTTTAAACCTCTCACGCACAAAATTCAGTTCGACCATTCGATTAGCGGGGAGAATTAAAAAATCAAGTGTCGCTTCAGGAGAAAATTAAATTTCACGACGTCCGAGTTATTAATCCCAACCAAGCAGTAAACATTGACGTCCACTTGCACTAGTCCTTACTTGTATATTATTGTACAACTTAATACATAAAAATTTCTTGAATTTCGAGCGCTGTCGCCAAGTCAGGGCGCCTCCAAACATTTAATGATATAATTATAACAAGTTCTCACCGTGAGCCTCTCCCAAATTGATGGAAATCAACAGTTGCACGTAACTTAAACTAAAGTGTTCCACTACACTCATTATCCACTGCACTCACTTTGGAAACGAACTTAACTTCGAACAAAAGGCACTCACTGGAAACACTGTTGTTCACTGTAAGATGCGCCAGGACCGAATTTTGTCATCTCTCATACGGCCTAATTTGTAGAATGAATTAACTTGACCAACTTCCACCGGAATTTACTCCTTTTAAAGCACGTGAACACTGAATTTTAAGCGGTAAACAATAGTCGGCGGACTTGAAATGAAAAGGTACTAAATATATCCACTAAAATCGGCACTTTCTTGGACGTAAACAAGCGTACCCCACGAGAACCGCGTTCCAAGTAACGGGTCCATGGCGGCGCACACCAACGCAACGCGATCGTTTGACTACAGCGCCATCTATCGATGCGGGAGATCGACCCTGATCGACGCATCTGAGTCTGCACGAGAGGCACGCAACAAAAGACGAAGAAGTAGGAGAAAGTGAGAGAAGACTAACAAAATATTTACTCTAAAATATTATATTTATTAATGTATATATAGCATCAAGATTTATTTATATAAATATATTAATATGCTAAATTTGTAGAATTTAACACAATAATTGTAATAGAAGAATAATTGTAATCCCTGGCAATTTCTTTTGCAGCTGTACTTACTAACATTAGTGTATTATGCGATAATAATTAATTAAAAGAATGAGAGCTTTTATGTTTATAATAAGTTACTTTAATTATTGGGTATTTGATACGACAAAAATAGTATTTCATATTAACTGAAAATGAAGGAATAATATTTATAGTTATTAAATTTTATGTGAAAACTTCTTTACGAATTTGACTCGATATTGTAAGGCAAGCAATTAAATATGGTGTCAAAGTCTTTTCTTGCTTTGTACGTATATAAAACAAAACATCTGCTTATTGTTTCTATTCCTGCTGCCAAATCGGTTGTAGTTACTCTAGATAATGGACTTTCCATTTCATACGATATTAAATCCTTCTCTTGTACGAATGAGGCAATACAGGCAGTTTGTAAAGGTTGCAAACTGTTCTTGAACTGCTATTGAGGATTTCCTCGATAGAGAACCACTTTCCTGTCCAATGTAGTTTTGGGCACGTTAACAGCTGCAGCTGTCTTACGATATGCGTTGAAGCTCTTCAGTTTAATTTAGTCCTCCGATCTTTTTTTCGTTCGAACATTATAACAGAAACTATTTACAAAAATATCTCCATGTTGCCATAAATGTTACATCGAGACTAATACAATGGTATTCACCTATATCTTTTCATAAATAACATACATAAGCAGCTTAATTCCTCGCCCTGTGATTTATTTCTTAACTATGATCAATACTACTACTTTATTGTTAATATTTGTTTAAGAACAGAAGAGTTTTTTATGCTAATCCTATGTCTACGTTTACTCGAAAGGTGAACGATTGATCATAGAAAAGTAATATCTAATTTATATTTAAAAAAGAATAAATATTGAAGTTATATGTATGTCAAAAGTTTATGAGGTCGGTAGTTGGAATTAATATTTATAATTTTGCAACGTTTCAGCGATTAATGATGTGTTGCTCAATTGTATAAGAGGATGTTTCGTTACACGAATACAATCAAGTATCTATTTGTTTTATGTTTACAGCTTTATATGTATGCCGTAATTATTCGAACAGAAATTGTATTTGTTTTACAATATGCACTCACGAACAAACGTATTGGCGCGGAACAAATTTTCCAGTAAAATTATGTGTTAAATGTACGATTCTTTGTTTAATTTTATTATGAAGTTAAACTTCAATGAAAAAATTTAAATTTATCGTTATTTATTATCGTTTTATAGGTACACAATAAAAATAAACAATGCAAAAAATGATATAAATTTGTGTTCTACAAAATACAAGTATTGGCAGACTTCCTAGTTTGCAGTATAAATTTGTTGATAAAACTTTCCTATTTATTATATTTTTTAAACGATTGTAAATCATATCTATTAAACTGTGGGTTATTATTTGGTTTTCACTATTTATAACTCGGCTAAAGGAAGATATAATTTTTTTAACTTTAAACTTATTCAAATATAATAACAGTTTATGTATTAAATATATAAATGAATGAACCATGTTTTTTCAGCTAACTATATCGGATTTTAACATATCTAATTTATTCATTCTATAATACAAAAACTTTCAGCAAAATTATTCCTTTAAACATATTTAATATATGTATAAATGCTATAAATGCATAAAATTCGCGGTCGTATAATATAATCCAGAAAAAATTAATGGAAAATAGTGTCACATTGTTTCTACAATAACTTAGAAAATATTTCAATCGAAAGTGTAAGCAATTACACAAGTAACCAGACAGCGTCAACAAACTATTCAATTACACAATACTAATTCACTCAACTAACAAGTCACAGAAACCCAATCGCATTAACATTTTCCGAAAGAAACTCGAAGCGCTCGCCTCTTAAAGGAAATCGATTCTTTGAAGGATCTCTTTGTACCTGTTCTTATATACTGTGTTCTATACGAATCGAATACGATTGCCGTTTTACAGGTCTCATCCCGATCGTATCGGAACAACCATATCGCAGATAACCATTGACGTCACCATTCAGATATTCGGTCCCGCGGATATCCGGGTACTCGAGGTCTCGCCTAAGTACCATTCGAGATGATCGGCTACCATTCGGCCGGGGTCGCGAACGGTCGGGCAAAAGCGAAGCGGAAGTTAATCGACGGTGGATCCCTTTTTATCGGCTCCCGGGCATTTTGTTCGGGCGAGATAAAATCATTTAAAGAAACGACGACGACGCCGGATTCCGCCAGTTATCGATGGAATTTCGTTTTCTTCCGGCTGGATCCTCGAAAAACGTTTGAGGAATAGAGTCCCCGCGTCGTGCCGGTCTGCGAATAAAACGCGGGAGAGACCGGGCAGGGAGGCTGAAGCGGCCTACCGAACGTACCAGGCGGATTGGGAGCGGCCATTGCGGCCGTACGCCGACTATACATACGTACGTACATACATACGTCGACTTTAAAAGAGAAAAGTCGGGGAAAATGGAAGACCCGGGCTAGATCGATGGGTGCCAGAAAAATGTGCACCGAAATTTATATAACGAGGAATTCCATTATGCCGGGGCTCCCCGATACCCTTGGAGCCTAGCGGCGATGCCGATGTATCGGAATATCGAACGGCGTGCTTCATCGACCGAGATAAGATCCGTTTACATTTCGAACCCTCTCCCTCCGAGGCCGGGCTAGAGACTCAACTTCCTTCGTGGTGGTGCATGAATCACGACACTGTCGTAATTTAACCGAAAACCAATTTTTCGTTTCGCCAGCGCCCACCGACTCCCCGCTCCTTAAAGCGGATCTTTGTGGTGGTCGTTGTCTGCCGGATCCGGCCGCCGGCCATGCTATATAATAGAGGACGCCTAGACGGTCAAGGTAGAACAATGAGTAATGCGGCCGGCAGATTCTCGTGGAGCACCGTTTAGAAGTCGATTCTACTTGTAAAGGGGTGGACGTCTTAGTTTGTAGCTTCTTTTTCTTGCCTTTTTTCCTTGATAAACCGGGGTCAATGCCGGAGACGCGGGAAAATGAGCAGTCCGGGGACGCTGATGAAAACCTGGCCTGGCTGAAAGGGAAGGAAGATCGACCACATTACAATACCTTGAAGTGTATTGACCAAACAATTACCGGTCTATTTTAATTAAATCCTCCCTGATGTTTTTGATCGTTCAACGGCAACAAATCTTTCAGTCGAAACGACGCTTGTCGGAAAATTCGTTCGGAGAGGCGAGTTGGTGAATGTCGGTAAGTGCGCGCGGTGTGTTCGTATTGTTAGAAAGTAATTGGAAAGATGTAGATTTGAATAGAAATTGTTTTTATTCGTCGTTTTTATCGTAAGCTGTAATCTTACGATACTATATTTTCAGTTTTAAGAGAATTGTTTATTGAAAAATAAATACCTGAAATAAAAAATAAAATTTAAATATTGAGGAAAATGAGTTAGAATACAAACAAATTTTGTTGTTTTGTGCTTTCGTGTAGGCCATAAACTCGAATAATCCATAGTCTAAATATGAAGCAGGAAGCTTTGCTTCAGCGGAAATTCAATTATTCACTGTACCATAGAATTAATCGCCGTTATTATGGATATAAACAACGAAACAATTAATCGTTGCTGACAGGTTTACGGGACACAGCGATGATTCAATGTGTTTTAGGAAATGATACGAGGTCATTCCACTACTTCAGCAGTTGGCTAACGTTTCCTAGGCAATAAGTGGAACAGTTGCATCTGTCACGCGAGTATTTTGTGTATCCCTACTGACTCGTCTCGACAAACGAATCATAGTGCCCAGTAACGAACGAGCTTTGTAACTCATATTGATATCAAACTTTCCTGGAACAGAGAGTGCATTTAAAATAATTGTAAAAAATAAAAAAACATATGTCTCCCTTATTTTTGAAATGTATGTACTAATCTCACACTGCACTAAAAAAGGTAATATTTACAACATATTATCTGATTAAGAATAATACCACAGAAAATGTAAAAGAGAAGTGAAATATTTGATGTTATTAATTCAGAACTTCAGTGTCTGTCAGATGCATTACATGGAGTCACATTATATGTGACATTTATAATAATATGTTCCTCAACGGAGTGTGAAACACAAAATATTATTCAGTCTATAGTAGGTATAATTAATACGACTAATTGGTACTCATTAAATTACTTATACATTCGAAGCAAAGAAGTAAATATTGTAAACATATAAATTACATTCAACTAGTACAAGGAACAAGATACAAATCGATACTAAACAAAAAAATGTATCGGTTGTAAAACAAATAATGAATGTTTTGAAGTTTGGCGCGTGTTTTGAATATTTCTAACAACTCATTTTTAAATATATACAAACAGACGTGTCACCTGTACATGAGCGATGCGGCGGTCAACGTGTTAATAGCGTTGAAATGGAAACTTAAAATGCGAAAAAGAAGTAAGTAATGGTCGCAATTACAGAGAGTGGTAACTTAGAAGCGAGCGGAGATCCGGGGATCAGGGCGCCCGATTTCAGATAAAATCGGGCTAGTTCGGGTAACCACCTCGACCATCCGGGCGAGTTCGGGCGGATAAAAATTTTCGGATCCGGATCTACCTACTTCCACCTAGAATTGGGCAGTTTGAGTAATGAAGCATTCGGATAACTTCAGCAACGCCTGTGCACATCCATCATTCGCAAAATTCTAGCTCTTGGATGACTATAAAGCATGCGAATTTTTGGAAATAATATCTTCCAT